CTCAAAATAAAAAAAAATCAATATTTTTTATTAGCTAACATAAAAAATCCAAAAATATTTTCCTCCATACCAAACGCACCCAAAATTCCGACCAATATATTATATATATATATAAACGAATAGCTATACAACCAAATTTTTTTTCTTAAAAAAAAATTTCACCTAATATTCAATATTATCTACATTAAAATTTAACTATTCGAAAAATCACTCCCTACCAAAAGCCTCAACCAAAGTCTATTTTGAGTCCTTTTTTAGATAAATCATATCATAATTTAAGTAAATTAACTATAAATTTTGTCCCTAACTAAATGCATCTTGTCTTCTTGTTATACAAGCACATGCACTATATTAAATTTTATTTAGACAAATGTTCTGTATTTAGGCTGCTAATTTTCTTAATTGGAAATTAATAATAATTATTTTGTAATATTATAATTAGAAGACTATATATATATATATATATATATATTATAAGATAAGACTTGGTAAGTATACCTTTTTAATTATATATGTATTTTGTACTTTCGATTAGCCAAAGGTTATCTTACACCTTACACTACGTGAGGATAAATAGGATCCCAATTAATATTAGGTATTAAATATCGAACTTCCAAAATTTAGTTTGAAAATAATAAATATCGATATCGTAATTGTGTAAGTACGTATATTGTGTCGGTGTGTGTTAGTTGTTTGTTTAATATTTAACCTAAAACATTCACTAAATAATGAAATCGTAGAAAAATAGTCTGAAAAATATTTTAACTTTGATCGAAATTGTTATTACGATACCAAACTTTATGGAGGATCTTTTACCATTGCACTATTTAATAGTGTATTTTAAAGGTATATATGTGACAACATGGACACATAACTATTTATAATGATGTAATATTTATGATGTTCACGTGAACACATATATACCTTTAAAATACACTATTAAATAGTGCAGGGTAAAAAGTCATTTCCAAAGTTCGATATTGTTACAATAATTTCGGTCAAAATTGAAATATAATTCAGACATTTGATGTTTGAATTAAAAAAATCATTAAATAATATATTTATTAGTATATGTGTTGTATTGAATCACGATCTAAACTAACATGCAATGTACGTTTTATTTTTTCACTATAAATACCACTTTACTATTCCAAAGTTTTCAACCAAAAAAAAATCATTCATAATTATGGCTTCTCTTTTTCTATCGAAATTTTCTTTCTTTCTTTTACTAATAATAATAACTTTATTTTTTCACTCTTCTCATTGTGATGTCCTAACAAGATGTCACATCACATCACTTTTTCAGTTCGGCGATTCTATCGCGGATGCTGGAAACGTGATCCGCATACCTGGTGCCGTCATATCGGCCCAGGCATGGGGTCTACCTTATGGTGAAACCTTTTTTCATAAACCTACTGGACGTTTTTCTGACGGTCGTATTATCGCTGACTATATCGCCACGGCTCTCAGTCTCCCATTCCTCAATCCTTACATGGACAAATCAGGTGTTTCCTTTAGTCAAGGTGCTAATTTCGCCGTTGCTGGTGCAACGGCGATGAATAACTCTTTTTTGGAGGAGAGGGGCATTGGACATGTCCCGTTCAACGTTCCTCTCCCGAGTCAATTAGAGTGGTTTAAATCTCACCTCCAGTCAACCTATGGGTCAAAATATTCTACAACTCTACGAAACTCTCTTGTAGTATTAGGAGAGTTTGGTGGAGTTGATTATTGGAATGCTTTAGCGGGAAATAAACCTGAACCTGAGGTACGTACGTACGTACCTTTTATTATTGATGGCATTATAAGTGCCATCAAAGAGGTGATCCAATTAGGATCAACTCGAATTTTGGTTCCAGGAGTTTTTCCTTTTGGGTGTCTATCATCATATCTAACAAGATTCGCTGACACGAATCCAAATGCTTATGATCAATATGGTTGTTTGAAATTTTATAATGATTTCGCTACGTATCATAATATCGAGCTAAAGAAGGCTCTAGAAAATCTACGATGTGAGTTCCCACGTGTTAAAATTGTGTATGGGGATTACTATGGTGGTTTTAGGCTTGTTTTTCGATACGCGTCTTGGTTGGGATTTAATCCAAGTACATTGGTATCGGCATGTTGTGGGAGCGGAGGACGATACAATGCCGGGGGATGTAGTTCAGCTAGTACCAATGTATGTCCTAACCCGTCCCAATACGTTAATTGGGACGGGCTTCATCTGACAGATGAAGCGTATCATCGTATTTCTAACGTTGTTATCAACAATATGCTTCCAAAATTTGGGTGTTATGGACTTAGAAATTCGAGTGCATTATCTAGTTATTGAATTTTTAAGGTTTTTGTTTAATTTGTTTTGGTTATTTGGGTGTCTTTTTCATGATTTTCTTTGTACTTGAGTTCGTTGATTTTGATGAAATGTGTTGTAGTTTGAAATGAATATGAATAATGAGAAAAGATAATTGTTGTGTTGTAATTTCAGTTGATTTTTACGTATGAGATAATAATTGAACTTTATTTATAATAAAACAATAAAGTTATAAGATTTAATTTAATAACTTGTATTGCATGATGATCTTGCAAGATTAAGCAGAAGGAGATATTTAAATTTGTATAAAATTTCTACAAGTAGATATACACGTTTTATACAACTTTTATCGTGTTTTATATGTTTATTTTACTTAAAATGTGATTTTTATTTATTCAATTTTATAGAAATTTAAATACGATGTATTAATAATTTCACGATTTTTATTTTTGTTTTGGAGTGGGGGTGGGGTATTTGTATTTTTGCGACTATGATGAGATGTGTGCTGTCTTCTCCATCTTAGGTATGGATAAACAAAAATAATAATAAAAGAATAATTATTGTTTAGTAATTAAACCTTATCCACTAAAAATGATTTTTTTTTATCATACCATAACATCAAAATTACAAATATTAGTTGGAAAACCCTTTGATATGATCAAATATGAGTTTGTATATTTACAAAATAGACATAAATCAATTAAATTTTTTGATAACTCAAATTCCTCATAAAGCATTGGAGCTAAGATTGTTCATGGCATGAGAAATTTGGAGGAAATGAAAAATTAAGTAAATATATAAATGCCTAAAAAGAAAATGCAAAAGATTCTAGTAGCAAAATCACTACCTTTTACTAAGATATAAGAAAAAAATAATAAAAGCTTGAGTTATCCAATACTGGTGGAAGGTAACATATATTCAAGGGAAAAGGGTCTGATATACCCCTCATTTGGAGCTAATATATCCCTCGTTATAAAAGTGGCTCATATATGCCCTTACCGTTATACAATCGGCTCACATATACCCCTGCCGTTACAAAATGGCTCACATATACCCTTCATTTAACGGATGTTAAAAAATTAATTTTAAATTTATATTTTTTACTTCATTTTTTTAAAAAAAATGATTTAGGGGTATATATGATTCTTCTATCAAAGTTCAAGGTATATTTTAATTTTTTTTGATACATAAATTATTTTTTAACTTCTTTTATTATAATTATTTGAGTTTCTTATTCTTATTTTGTTTTTTTTCTTTCATTCCTTAGTTTAAAGAAAAAAATTAAACTATTTTTTTTGTGTATTGTAATTTAATTTTGTATTCGAAGAAAAAATTTGGTCATCTACAACAAGTTTTACAAGAATATTAGTGAAACATAAATAAATTTGATTATCAAAATAATAATTATAAATTAGTCATTGAAACCAAAAAAGTCAAAAAAAAATGTTTGACAAGGATTAAATTTACTCATATGGGATTATACTTTTTAGAAAAAAATAATAAAAATTTAGATTAAAATTATTATTTTTTCATTTCCATTAGAGGAAAAGGGTATATGTGAGTCATTTGTTTAGAAGCAGGGGTATATATGAGTCACTTTCATAACAAGGGGTATATCAGCTCTAAATGACAAAGTTGAGGGGTATATCAAACTCTTTTCCCTATATTCAATGATCATTGATCATTGAAATTAGATAAGGTGCATATAAGCTTGTACAAACACATCTAGAACAGTAATAGTTAATTATCAAATAATCTTGGGATTAACATGAAGTGATGAAGATGTTTGTTGATGTTCATCTAATCATGGCATATTAATGGTTCCAAAAACTATGCCAAATGATATGATGAATAGATGACCATCAACAAACAAATTCATAACTACACAATTTTAGCATATATATACCTATATATACATGGAATTGCTCGGTTTAAGCCGAGTCTTTCAGAATTAACACCTCTACCTCCACAAGATAGTGAAAAGGTTTACGTACATTCTACACTCCCCAGATTTCGCTCGTGGAATTTCAATAGATATGTTTTTGTATAGAATAATAATATAAGAAGAAACTAAGAAGATAGCAAATTCACAGTATTATGTTGTAAGTTGTATGATTATTAATATATGCTCAGAATATCTATATTCTATGAGAAGTATATGCCTTGGGAATATACCTTACTTGTACTCTATAAATTTGAGGTTTCTATTATTGGTTGGTGGGTATTTTGAGTATTGTTTTAATACACATTTTCAATGATGAAAGGGAGATATTTAAACTTTTAATACCGAAAGGGCATGGTCTAGCTATCAATGAAGTGAGTGAATTATGAGTGATCGTGATTCAAATCTCGGCAGAAACAAAAAAAAAACACAATTTCTTCACGTGTGTTGACATTGGTTGATAAAGTTACTTGATACTGTAGTAAGAAGTACTAGGCATCCGATGGAACATCGAGGTATGTGCAAGCTGATGACCCTAAACATATCATTAGTTATCAAAGACTTAAAATTGTAATCCAACCAAATATACCATATGCTTCTTATTGGGGATGTTTAAAAAAAAAAGACGTTCTACCTTCACGAGCTAGGGGTAAAGTGTACGTACACTCTATCCTCTCCTAACCCCACCTATGAGATTACATTGGGTACGTTGTTGTTGCTTCTTAGTGGGACACCTTAGGAATAAATAGCTTTTCTTCCTTTCAAACCTTTCACCCAGTTAAAATACCAATCAATCAATTATACCACAATATTACAATATACAAGTATCTAACTTGACTAGTATACAAGTGTGATAATAACAACTAGAACTTCATATAACCAACAACTCCTCCTATGTGAGGTTCACATGGTTGGTCTCAAGTTCGAATGCAGTAGGTTGACAGTCAACATAAAGATAGAACCATGACGACACATCTTACCTTATAATACAGTACAATGGAATGGCGTATACATGGATCGAGCAACATTATTAAGCTTAACAGCATGAACATGTCCGATCATCATAGGAATCGTTGAGCATGTCATCATGAGAAGACAATGATGGAAGGAGCCAATTGAAGAAGCCTACTCTAGTTTCTTCCCTCAATCTCTGAGAAGAGTATTCCACCAACACATTCCAAAGCTCCCCTGCAGTCCACTTATGTGAAACAATCCATTGAATCACCTAGACCAAGTTTTCAACATAGAAACGTCACACGCTGATATAAGCTTCCAAGGCTTTCAGAAACTATAACAAATCGGCAAACATCCTAGGATTAAACATATCAGTTCAAAGTCGAATGAAACTTCACACCAGACACATTATAAAATGATTAACAGACAGAAAGTACCTGCTCCAGCATCTGCAATGCTTCCAGTCCAAATGTATAATACAAGATGAAAGGTCTCATTGCCTGTAGGAGAAGATGTTCAAAGTGAAATGAACATCTAAAAGAAGATATTTGATATTTTGACATTTTATCGCCTCCATCTCTGTCTGTATGACATCATTTTCCCTTTCCGAAAGCTTTTAAACGTCTAGCACAATTTACAAGTAGCAATGAAGCATAGACCATTACAAGTATCAAGAATTCAAAGATTATTAACCTCAAGTTAAAAAGTAGGCATAATACATAAGCAGTCTTGACCTCATATGGCAAATAAACACTCCAACTTTGAGTATGCATATCTAGGCACCTCAACTCATCTCAATTGTGTCAGTTGAACACTCAAACTTACAAAACGATCCTCTGAATACCTCCAAAATTTATGTGACACGCCAGTGATGGGTGTCCATGAGACAGTGGCGATGAGTTGGGGTGTTTAGTTATCAGTTGAGACCAAGTTGAGGTGTCTAGATGTGCACTCTCAAAGTCAAAGTAATTACCTGAAGTTTGAGTGTCTATTTATGTATTATGCCTTAAAACTACGATGCGTCTCAAAAGTAGAGAAAAATAGAATGCGCCTAGATTTACCAAGTACATTATCCCCTAATAGGTGAAAAGCGAGTGCTCTGTGCCTTCTCGCATGAGCCAATACTTCCCGCATACAAATGCAGGAAAATGTCCAAGGAGAATGAACAACCTGAGATGCAGCAATCCATTGAAGCATTGCTTTAAGTTGAGGATCTCCTCCAAAAGCACCACAACCCCAATTTCCAGTCACAACACCAATTTCCTGCTGACTGTCTAAAGGTGGACAACGGTGCCCCTTGTGATTTCTGGCTAAATGATTCCCCGATGCTCCCTCGGTTGCTTGAGATGAAGTTGAAGTATGACCAAGTGACTATCAGAGACAATTAAGAAAAGGAAAAAATTGAAATACCTATAGAGATATTGGAAGGGGAGCAAAAGGAAATAACAAACTGAGGAAGATTTAAAAAATGACAAAAGGAAATCCTACCAGAAGATTAACAATGGACCTCCCACCGGTGGAGTTAACAGTTTGATCATCTTTGAAGAGCTGTTGATACTGATGACATTTGCATTGATCCATGAAGCCACAAAACGCTTTATTAATCTCCCTGGGCAACATATTCAACTTATCATCAATAAAGAAATACAACTATCAAGCATTTTTTCTGTAAATACTAAAGGTCCATGGTTAATCGACCAATAATAGTTAGAATTTCTAATGTCAAAATGTCTCACTCTCAGTGCAGAATATGCTAACCTATCAATTCACCATACAGCCTCACATGAAAAAGGAAGAAAAAAAATACTACGTTACCATCTCAAAGCCTCTTCTTCTCAATTTTTAATATACATGTGTTATTTGCACTTTTTGCTAAATAATGTTAACTTTTTTCTTGTCTATCTTTGTAAGACCGCACATCCATCTTAGCATCCACATCTCTATGACATAATCTTGTGGAAGTCCAACATATCCCCAAAATGAGTGTCTTAGAGATGGATGTGTAGTCAGTCATGTAAGATCCTTTAGAGGGTTGTATGACTACAATATCTACTTTTACTTTTTTATTTACTTGGTATCAAAGAAGGCAGAGATTCCGGGTTCACGTGCTTGACCATAAAACATAATCATATCCGCATGTGAGGGGACATATTGAAGATATAATAAAATAAACATAAGTGTACTCACTAACAGCTTTCTTCTAAAAAATGTGGTCACAGTTCAACATTGTCATGAAAGAATGAAACATATTGAAGTAGATTGTGATTTCATTCTAACAAAAGGTCGAGTCAAGGTGCACAGCGACAAGTTTTGTCAATTGATCAGTTTGCAGATATTCTTACAAGGTCCCTTTGTAGCTCCAGAATTGAGTATATTTGAGGCAAAGAGGAGCATACAATGTGTACAGATTGATAAAGAACCTAATTGTACCTAAAGGATAATCCAAAACTTACAGAGTTCAGTATCATATGTTTAAGGCCTTAACAGACTTCATGAAACAAATATATTCCAAAGAAGCATTTTAAAAGAGTACAGAAACTTGTGTACCTTAGAAGGCCTTCAAGTCGGTACTGGTTGTTTCCCGGGCAGCACAGTGCATCTATTGCAACTATCCTAGTCTTACGCCTTCCAAGAACATCAATGTCCTTTTTGTCGACATAGTCACCATTAAACCGGAATGAAGAGGCATACCTTCACCAGTTGAAAGACGTGAAATAAGCGGAATTACAGTTAATGGCCCAAAATGTCAGAAAAAGATTTCCACGCATATATAGCTTCAACAAATTAGCAAAAGCCCTATTTGTTCCAAGTTAACTTAGTAATGTGTTGCAAATACACAATTCATTCTCTATATAAACTCACCCGGTATAACTTGAAAACCTTTCTGTACCAACAATTTCTATAGCTTCATTGTCTGCCATGCACGGCAGGAAAAGCATGCCAGCGATTAACTCTGGATTGATCATAAATCGAATTTCTTCCTAAAAGGAAAACTACCTATTAGATATTATCTTAAACGTATACATTCCAACAATCAATTGGGGCTGTGTGTATAAGATGCAACTGTTTATTGGGGCTGAAAAAATTCAGTCTTCCTTAGAAAATCTATAAAAGTCTCATTTATAACTAAGACATGTGCAGGTCTGGCTGAGAGACTTTCAAGTTGCTTTGGAATAAGTGTGAGATTTAGAGAACTTCTTATATAATTAACCGTAACTTAGTTTAAACAGTTATAGTAGATTGATTGATTAAACATAGAGGTGTCGAAAAAATCGAAAACCACACCGAACTGGAACCCAAACCAAACCTACTTGATAAATAGATATATTCTTCAGTTTGGTTTGGCATTAAATTTTAAAAACCAACATTATTTGGTTTGTTTGTATTTAAAAGAAACAGACTGAACTGACAAAAAAGCGGAACTGATAAATTTTACAATCTGTGGTTTGATTTATATATCTAATAAACCAACTTAGCTGGTTTAGTTACTTAGCAAGTTACATTTGAGCCAAAACAAACTGCAAACACCATATTAAAAACACGAAGATGCAAGTGGATCATTTTACCAATCACTACAAAAGAAAAAGTTTTGGTTGTAAGCAACAAAATGATGATGGGACTGAATGTCGAAAATCAACAGATAATATATCAGTTCTCTTTTTAATCAAAATAAAAACATAGGGAGGGTTTTATGAAGTGCATTCACTTTAGGAATTAGACCAAAATCTCCAAAAAAAAATTAAACTTCAAAAGGCAAAAAGTGTGGTGCATTGTGGCAAAGGAAGGACAAAAGCAACTTATTCAATGAATTACTTTGAAATTCTTAATAATTGAAAATAATGGCTAATGGTTAGATTCAAAATGTGAAAACGAAAAGAACACTCTCCAAAAAAGAACCTGCACACAGCCCCTAACGAGAGCACCACCTCCTAAATACATGTTAGCAAAATCAACTTCAATAGCTTCACGTGATTGATCTTCAATTAATCCTGAAACAGAAATCTAAAAATAAACAGAATGATATCATGGCATGTGAGAAAAAAGAGACATGATAACTGGATTGAGATTACAGTTTCACTTCTTACCTCATAATGACAAAGGGAAATATTGGATTGGCTCCATAATTTTTCCTTTGGATAAGGAATACAAGATGGACTAAATTGTAAAGAAAGAACTTTTCGCTCGAAAGACACATAGCCTGCTGGCATAGATGAACATATCCTCCCAAAATAGTGAACAATGCACTTCAATTTATTATCGAATGCTTCTTCATAATGATCATGTAGACACCTGAAAAACATGTATGGCAGCACATGAACTTCATTAATTCGATTAACACAGTTTGAGATATTTAAAGACCGAAGTGCCACTACGGAAGAGTACAAAATAATTGATCTGTTCTTATTCTTCAACTCTGTATAACTCATTCTAGTTAACAATTGTAGATAAAAATTATTCAATTAAGACCTTACAATCTAATTATCAACCTAATGAAACTATTTATCTAAACCGTATCCTAAGATAGAGAAGTTATGTCAAGTTTTCAGATTATAACAACTCATATAGAGATATGAACAGAAAACAAGCATAGATGCAACAATCATATCAGACAGTTGATGAAACATACGCAAATAAGTGATCAAAGTTGATCATTGGAAGGTGTTTGGCACCTCTATGACTGGTAGGAAATAGACAAAACAACGCGCATGCAAGAAGAGCACCAATTAGTTCCTGGAAAAAAAGATTGAAAACCATGAAAATTAATGCTACAGATACTTGTTACAACATCGAATAATCAAATTCTGCTGCAGAAATCAGTTAAAGGGGTAAAAGAGGTATGAAACAAATTAATTGTTGAGTATCCCATACGAATCTCAGGCTGTGACATGAACTCATTTGTGTGTATTAGGTACAGGAAGAAATCTAGAAATGGGATTCCTCATCGCTTAAACTTAAAGTTAATTGCTTTAAAGTAGGATAACTCTTTCCTGCCTGCTTATTGACCACAACCACACCAACCCACAGTGACGGAGCCAGGAGTGTTACTAAGGCGTATCACAATATCAAAACTAGACAGACGTAAAAAAATAAGGAGAGTTAACATATAGTATATACATACATACATAAAATTCTAAACTACTACCTGACTAAGGAAGACAATGCCAGGCTCTTGTGATTCCAACAAGCGAAGACCGGTTTTAACTCCTTTCAAAACTCCATCATCAGCATTCTCATAATGAGTTTCTAGCAATAAAGGCAATCTCAAAAGCAACTTAGCCAATTGTGGTACCACTTCTTCGAACCATTTTGCAGCTTCATCCCTAGGAAGCAACTGCACAAACAATTCAGCATTTAGTAAACAATCGTATCAGTTCAAACTTTTTTTTTTCATAATAAACCAGTAGCTTGTTCGATCAAGTTTTTGAGAAGTCAAAAGTGTTTATTTTTAAAGAATCGAGGTGTTCGGCCAAGATCTTACGAAAAACAACACTCCTTCTCCCTCCGTTTAAATTTATTTGCCTTTATTCAGAGTGCACAAGCAAACGAAATTCGGACATAAAAACCTCAATCTATTTGAAAACGTACTATAAATCACGATAATAAAAAATAGAAACTTTTTTTCACAACCTATCAACATCGATCAAACACAAATTATTGCACTAATAGTATCTTTTCAAATTAAGAATCGAAACAACAAACTAATACTATACTTTAAAACAAAAAAAAAATGAAATTTATATGTTCATGAACAGAGAATTATGGGAAACGAAATTTACATCATCGAAGAACAGAGCAAAACCTTGAGAAGCAGAAGTATCAATTGAAAAACTGTGGAACGAGAGAGAGTTTCGAATATCGGAAATGGCGATGAATAGGCCTTCGCCGGAGTCAATTTTGCTGTGATTAGGACCTTTCGAGATATCGGTAAGTGCTTCAGTTACCGGCGCCGGCCAAAAAAGTGAAGATGATCGGAGTGAAAAGGGTAAAAATGGAAGAATTGACTTCAAGTCTTCTCTGTTCTCCATTAAAGTTCGTTTTTTTCGACGTTACATAATATCACATATTTATATTTAATTTAAAAATAAAAATTATTTTAAAACAGATTAAAAAGAAAATAAAATAATAACGAAGATATAAATCAGAAACGCTACTGTTACCAAAAACTCAACTGGAAGAAGAAAGTCAAATTACAGTCTGAGAAGATAAAAATGGCGGCTTCAGCTTTCGGACAGTGTAGTCTTCTTCCTCGTACAGTATCTTTGAATCCTCAGCAGTCTCATCGTCAGCTCTGCAGTTTGTCTTTCCATAGACAAACTGTAAATTCTTCACTTCCTGCACTGTCATTCACTCAGTCTATAGGTTAATATTATTTCTTTCGATTTCGATTCGATTTGATACTGTTTGGGTTTAAATTGGGAATTTTTTTGAATTTGATTAGGTTTTGGGTCTGCAATTGAGAGACATTGTGTGGATCGAAACGGGTCGGATTTGTTTAAAACGGATGCTGTTCGTCAGTTGAATGGTTCAGTTATCTCTGCTAAGGGGCATCGGTTTGCTATTGCAAGTTTTTTCTCTCTTTTTCTTATAATTATCCGTTTGATTGCTCGAATTCTTCAAAAATGTTGCTTCACTTGTGTCGAATCAGCTAAAAATGACTACTTTTGGAGTATCTGATAAGACCCGTGGAGTTTTTTTAGAGTCTGAGCAACATCACTTTACGATACTCTTTGCATTTCATTTTATGTGGTGATAAGAAATGAAGGATTGTATCTCCATCAGACTTGATTTATGTGATGCTTGTGTAGCTATATATATATATATATATATATATATGTCATTCTTTTTGGGACTGCAACAGAAGAAGTAGCTCTTTTCTTACATATAGGACTGCGATAGAGTACATAGGAGGGAGGAATAAACATGCTAAAAGTACCTTAGTATATGGTGTTTCATGCTTTGTTAATTCCAATAATAGCATGTCAATTGTCATTAAGGGCAACCTGAAATGTTAAAAAAGCGAAGAGTATTCAAGAAAAGAAATATCTCGTGTAAATTGAAAAGGAGGGAACCGTAGTTTAAAGTGGTGATTTTTAATTGCGAGAGTTAACAGTTTCATTTAAAGAAATTGTGAAAAGTCAATTGATACAATTCGTGTTTGGTCTGTAGTTCTGTTATGTTTTTGGTTTTACTTGAAGCCGTATAGAAGTTGAGTTCATTTCATTGACAATGTTTCTAATAGAGTGTTATTGGAACTGACTGACCGTCTGTTGGTTTTAAAGGTGGTTGCACGTTTTAATGATCTGATCACCAAGAAGCTTTTGGAGGGAGCTTTGGAGACTTTCAAGAATTACTCGGTTAGAGAGGAAGATATTGATGTACGTTTTCTATATCTAATCCTCCGTTCCCTCAAAACCTGTATTTTCTCTTAAACTTGATGCAATTACTACAGAAGGTCCGCTTGCCATGAAAAATCTAAATGAGAGATTGATTGCTACATAATACCCCTCTATGACACGCTATACTGGAGCATAAAGATCCACTATGGGATAAATGGAGAATGTTGTATCAATAGATTAAATATAGAATAAGGCGTGGTGGGAAGTTGTCTCTTCCATTTCATGGCGTCATCTAGTTTTTTCCTCATAATGCAGGTTGTGTGGGTTCCTGGTTGTTTTGAAATCGGCGTGACTGCACAGCTTCTTGGAAAGTCACAGAAATATCACGCAATACTCTGCATTGGGGCTGTGGTAAGCTCACTTCCAAACATAAGTTTACCTTGTCGTTTTTCCTTCTACATTATTTGCCTACTACGATTCTGTTTCATATGATGATATTTTTTGTATCGTGTATGGAAATATGGAAGATTACAGTCAGATGCTTAAGTTATTCTTTTGGTATATTCTGTTTTGGATCGTCTTATGTGTTCATCATTGTAAGTGAACTAATCTTTTGAGTTACGGAAGGGGAAGCAGCTTAGAGTATGATGAGAAGCATTAACTGTGTCTTTTGTTCCTGTTGAGAAGACTAGCATTTATTTGTGACGCTCTTCCCTCAACAATGGAACTATAAAGCTGAACAAATAAAACTCAAGCACTATTTTGACAGATAGGCAAAATTATTAAACAAAGAAGCTATTGAACTTTAGATTCCTTACTGAAGATATATACTTGGATTCATTAAATGGAAATCTTTAACTAATTTCCATTGATGTGAGGGAGGGAAAAATCTGTGGATTTAGCTCAGTGTATTCTAATTTTTCTTTGTGGGACGGGCTAAACGTTTAGTTGTTGTAGTTGGACATAGTAGGGAGGCATGCGTGAATTTAGTGCCTTATTGTGAAGTAACCTCATCTGAACATACTGATAAACACTATATTATTTTTGCCCCGGTGGATTTCTTTCTCAGTTAATAAATATCTGGAAAGGAAAAGGTAATATAAAGCTAAAACTCTGAGCATTACAAACCCGAAGAAAGAAAAAATCCATCACAGACAAGAGATTGAAGTGCCTTTCTGCTTTTCCCTCTGTCCGAATCATAATCTAATATTTCTTTTTTTCTTGATGGTGATGTGTATCATTGTTTTTAATTGTATTTTTTGCTTTGTGGCTAGTAGATCAGAGGTGATACATCTCACTACGATGCAGTCGTTAATGCTGCCACATCTGGAGTACTTTCAGCAGGTCTAAATTCAGGTGAGATAACATACTCCATTATAATCCACATGAGCAATAACAAGTATGCTGATTTTTAATCTTTTGCAACTCTTCAGTACTTTATTGATAGATAAGATTTTGGAACATTGTTAAAACTTCGAATGTAATATCTGGAATTAAATATGATGGTTGAAATAGAGGATTGTTATGGGACCATGATCCAACAAAGTGATAGGCAAGGTTTAGTAAGGTTGTGAGACTAAGCATGTAATATGGGGTTGTTAGGCTTCTAAAGTCCGAACATATTCACAGGATGAATTTGTTAATCTGGATGTTCGGACATACAAGACTGATAAGATTAGAAATGATAACTGACAGAAGGTGTAAGTACCCTAAAAGATGAAAAGAAGGGTCGTTGAAGACTACTTATGTCTTAAACAGTCATCTTAGATAGTTAGGCTGTGTCGAACACTCAGGCATAGTACAACAACTTGAAGATCCTATGTTAGAATCCTAGTTAAAAACTGTGTGAGTTCATATGCTCTAGTCCTGGTGTCATATTTACTCGATGGTTGTGCTTCTGAGCAGTATAATAAGTTCCCCGATGAATTTATCAAGGTAAAAGGTAGTTTGATTACCTCTGTTACACATCTTCTGTCATTATACGCTATTTTCAGTTCATCTTTTTCAATTCGCTGGCCAAACTAAAATCTCCCTTATGTAATGAGTTGCAGGTACTCCTTGCATATTTGGTGTTTTGACATGTGATACCTTGGAGCAGGTAAGCAATTAGCCGTTATACACGTGTGTTGGTGTTCTATCTCCTTTGTCCATTGTATAAATAGTGGTTGGAATAACAGATTCACGGAAAGTATAATCTGCATCAGCTGAGAGGTTATTATACCTTGTAGCTTTGTACAGCGAGATAGTCATTGTTGTTTCGTGTACTTGAACTGTTAGTTTTTTATGGATTTGTGTAACATATACTCTCCTTGGAACTACATTTACAATATTCTTCTTGGCTGTGTGAGGCTATCTTGCTCATGCATGCTAACCAACATCGCTATATAATGCAGGCTTTCAATCGCGTTGGTGGGAAGGCTGGGAATAAAGGTTCCGAAACTGCATTGACTGCTGTAAGTTGCCTGTGATTGTGTGACAATTAGATTTTATCCTCAAAACAAGTTCATTTGTGTCTGATTCTGCTCAAATATATCTGCCTTAATATGCGATTAAAAGGGTCTGACTAATATAATTGTTGAAACTTAAACATCAATAACTTAAGACTCAGTGTTCTGTTAGCAATAAGTGACTGATCTTGAATGCATATATTGTGTTTAATTTTTCAGATTGAGATGGCATCTTTGTTTGAGCACCACCTAAAGCCTTCAGAGTAGACAATCCTTCTTATCGCGACAAGGTTCTGGATTTTCACCTTTAAACAGAATCTCACTCGCATTACCATCCCAACTAGTTACTCCGACTAATAAGGTTAGACATCGAGGGGGAAAAAGAGTTCCCTCTACTTCTCGGTTTCCTTCCTCGTCTACTCATTGATGCTGGATGTAAACATTCTTGTAAAAGCTGCACTTGTTTGAGAAAATGTTGCACTTTGTTTCAAGTTTGAGTTTTGGATAATAGTATTCTTTCAAGTTTTGAGTTTTGGACTTCAAATTGGTTCTATGTGAATTGGAACTTCAACATTGATTAGTTCTCTCCCACTTCCTCTATCCAAATAGTATACAAAAAAAAAATGGTAAAGTCCGAGAAGGAATTGCTCAGATGGTAAGCATCTCTCACTTCCAACCAAAGGTTGCGAGTTCGAGTCACCAAGAAAGCAAAAGGGATGGAAGCTCCTAGGAGAGGGTAAAAGAAATTCTGAAAAAGTAAAATTATACGGAGCGATTGTTGATTAAATTTTACGAAATCTTTCTATGGTATGTATCGTACTGTCGTAGGTTGATTATAACGATCTTTCTATAGTGTGTGCTAAAACTTGATTTATCAACATATACTTCCTTCATTTCAATTGTTTGTCTTATTTCCTTTCATGCATTTCAAAAAGATTGCCTCCTCCCTAGAAGGCTACTTTTTAATTTCAATTTTCTACTTGACATGTATAAGGCCATAAGAATAAAAAATATTTGATACATTCGACATATATATCTTTAATTTATAATCATAAAATTCAAAAAAAAAAGTTTTCTAAAACTTCATGTCAAATTAAAATCAGACAAACAAATTGAAACACAGAGAAAAAGAGTTTCTTAATAAAAATTGTAAAAGATCAACTTGCCCTTGGAACTAATGGTTCAAAATTGTAAATTTGTGTATAGGATAGACTATGACAATTAGTTCTCTCTGCAAATATG